ATATGTCATGTACACGTGGGGTTGCAGTGCATTGGATAATGACAACCACTCTAAAGAGGTATCAGGCTGTGGTAGTTTCATAATTTCATCGACCCATGGTAATGGATCGATTCGTGGGGGTGGGTCATCGAGGAAGCGAAGCCACCTAAGTAATATGGATATAAATTTTAGCAAGCAAGCCAGCGTACCTAGTGAGAAGGTAGGCTCTATCAATTTCTTTTCCAACATCTACCTAATTTTGTTTATTCTTCTTTCATTAAATTAGACTAGTTAATCAAAATGAAATATTCTTTTCCTTATTTCTTTCCTGCTGTTTCAATCTCGTGAACTTATCCTGGTTTTATTTCATTTGTAAATATTGTAGAATACCAATCTAGAACAGCCGTGTTGTCAAGAAGTAATATCTTGTAAGGCAGGATCAATATCAAGCGCTGAAGGGAGGTTCTATTCACGAAGTGAACCTGTATGTTACTGGTCTTTTATTGTTGTTAACACAAGCAATTTTGCTTGACATGTCATGCAAAAAATTTTAGTATGAGTCATAATTTCTCTGCCCTTTTTCTTGACTTCATTCATTTATTTATTTATTTTGAATGTTTAACCTGACTTTGCATACTCTATTTTCTTAAAGAAGCCTTGGTTAACACAAGTTGCCTGTAATTGGTAAATATTATGTTTCAAAGACTATGTTATTTAGTTTTACTGGGTGCATTAGTGCTTGTAATAGTCAGTGTGAATTGTTCTTCTTAACTAATATTGCAATGTGTTGCCAACTAAAATACTGACTAACAGCACTTCTATAACATGAAAGGCCGAACAAATTTCTTAGTTATCTTGTTTTCTGTGCTGCAGAAAGCCGTCATTGTGTAGTTTTAAGCCTTTAGAATCACTAAGAATTTATCCAGTATATCCTTGGTACCAATAATACCCCATATGCTTTGTGATTCGCTCAGAGTTAAGCTCCAGATTTTATTAACTTTTATTATCTTTGGATAAAGCTGTATGGCTTACTGGTTATTCCTTGTCACTGTCACGGTGTCACCTTAGGTGTTAGTTGATGAAAATAGTTGAAAATTGTATTTCTCCTTTTTCTTCTTTTTTCTAATTCTTTTCTTTCAGAAATACATTTGTGCCAAAGTTACAGATAAAATTTTAGCTGTTTATCAGTCTATGCAGTACTGTTAGCGATTCTATCATGAATTTTGGACCCAAACAATGCATTACTTGTGCACATAGGTGTCTTAAGTCCAACCTTTTTCACGTGTGCAGCCCCTCAAACATGATATGCCTGGACCTACAAAGGACCAGAGGAGACATTTTATTGGTTCAAATGATGCAGTTGCTGTCCCACATCAAGCAGTTTCTCTTGGTGATGATGTAATTCCTGCGCCACCACCACTAGGTAAGAACTGGTGTGGAGGTTTTGCTTATTAGTATTATTGTCATTATCATTATCATCACATGTTGCATAAAAAGGCACAATTAGAGTTAATTGGTGCCACGCTTTGTTTCCTTATCCACTGCTGATAACTGAACATAACTCTAAACCATGTCTTTAGTTTATTAAATCAATGAATTCTTTTTTGTGATAAAACAATCATTAATTT